GAAGTATTCTTCTTTATTGCTATGGCCTTCACTTTGAAGTCTGTGTTGTCAGATAAGAGTATTGCTACTTCAGCTATTTTTTATTTTCATTTGCCTGAACAATTTTTCCCATCCCTTCCATTTAAGGTACTTACTATTTTTGTGCTTGTGTTCTCTTTCTTTCTATTTCTTTTTCTTTCAGTTCTGGATGGGTAGTAATAAATTGTTCTGACATTTTTTTTTTGTCTGTGAAGCTCTTTATTTCATCTTTTATTCTGAATTATAGTCTTGCTAGATAGTTTTCTTGGTTCAGTCCCTCATTTTTCATTACTTGTTATATTTCATGCAAAATCCTTCTGGCCTGAAGTATTTATATTTTGAAATCAGCTGACAGTCTAATAGGAGTCCCTTTTAGGTAACTTTCTGTCTCTCTCCTGCAACTTTTAAGACTCTTTCATTGTCTTTAATGTTTGCCATTTTAATTATGTTGTGTCTAGGTTGGGTCTTTTGTGTTTCATCTTGATTGTAATTCTTTATGTTTCTTGAACTTTAGTGACTTTCCTTCATCAGTTTAGAGAAATTTTCTGCCATATTTCTTCAAACTGGTGCTCTATTTCTTGTTTGGATTATTATCATTCTGGTACTATTACGATGTGGATGTTGTTATGTTTTATGTTGTCCCAAAGCTCCCTTGGACTCTCATGCTTTTTAATTATTTTTTACACCTGTTGTTTTGAATAGGTACTTTTTTCTAACTTGTCTTATAATTCACTGATTCCATTATCAGCTTCTTCTAGTCTATTGTTGAATCCTTCCAGAATTTTCCTTATTTCAGCTTTGTCATTCTTTATTTCTCATTTATTCTTAGTAATTGTTTCAGAGTTTCTTTCATGTTGGTATAATTCTCATTAAATCCCTTACAATTATCATTTAGCTACTTGAAGTTCTCACTGAGTTGTTTGAGAACACTTATTACTGTTATTTCGAATTCTTTATCTGTCAGTTTGCTTGATTCACTTCATGTAGCTCTTCTTCTGATGAATCTTCTTTTTCTTTCAATTTTGGGGTTGTTTCTTTGTCTCCCCATGTTTGTTGTTCTTTTGTATTTGTTTCTATGTGTTAGATCAAACAGCTATGCCTCACAGCCTTTATTGGATGGTCTTTGTGGGATCCAGAGGTGCAGTTTTTTAGATCTTTTGAGCTGGGTGCTCTAGGAATGCCCCTTGATTGAGTTAATTGGTTCACCTTATGTAGTTGGGTTTTGAATGTTGTTGGCCTGTTTGTGGATGTCATCTTCCCTCAGGCTGGATGAATATGTGGCTCTCTTATGACCAAGTCTTGTGATCTTGTGGAGGTACTGACATATCAGGATGAAATACTACACAACAAAATACAAAACAAAATAAAATAAAACAAAAACATACAGAAAGCACCTACAGCAACTACAAAAGCAACCACCAGAGAAGAGAGAATTAGGAAAGAGAAAAGATAGCAAGAACGATAGAAGAAAAGAAAGAAAAACACAAGGAGAAAATAAAACAAACAAACAAAAATACGGGGGAGTAAAAGGAATATGAAGGGTAGAAATGAAATAAAGAAAATAAGAATAAAGAATTAGGGGAATCATGGTTGGGAAATGGTTTAAAATAAAGGAGGAAGAAGAAGAATTTTGAAAAGGAAAATAGAGGAGTATGCAGATAGACCGCAAATAAGAAAATGAAAAAAAGATGAATAAGCAGAAGAAAAAGAAAATAAAAAAAAAATGAGAAAGAATAAGGAAGAGGAAAATTAGATATATGAATGAAACAATAGAGACTAAAATAATAAATCAATAAAGCAGACCAATAAGCAAGATAAGTAAAAGAAGAAAAAAAGGGAATGGGGAAAAAAAGAAACTAAAAGAAAAATAAGAGAGAGAGAAAAAAGAAAACATTTATGGTGGCATTTGTTTCAGTAGAGTTTAGTGTCTGTGGGAGCTCCTTTTGGATCCTGCTCTTCTGATGACTGTGGCTGACTTTTTTGTCTCCCAATTCTGAAGGTGCTGACAGGTCAGGATTTCCCTGGAGGTACTTAGTTGCTAACCTCTGTCAGAAACGTTCCTGTTTTGGCTTTCAGAAACCTGCTTGAATCTCCAAGTGATCCACTATTTGTATTTGTCTCCCACATGACTTGGCTGCAAGCAGGCATGGTCAATCTTCCTACTAGAGCAGGTTTGTTAGCAGTGTGGGCCCAGGACTGAGTCACCAAACTTCTCCAGGTTCCCTAGTCTCTGCCTCTGCCCGCCTTCGCCTGCCAGGTAGCTGTCAATCTTAATAATTCAAAAGACTTTCTGAAAGGGATTTAGGTGGAATCATGAGTGTAGACCTCTGAGTCTACCATGATGCGTAGCTTTCAGGGAAAGTGGTAGATGTGTTTCCCTGTCCTAGACCTACTCCTCTGCAAGTGGCTCAGAATATTACTCTGCCCTCGGCTGGACAGAGATCCTTGTATGCATTCCAGTGGGATCAGCTTTGCAAACTGGAATTTCTATCAGCTCTCCCACATGTGCCTTGACTGAATTCTGAACCCACAACCTGCATATGTAACTTGACTGGGAATCCAATTGCCACTTTTGTTACATAGGACAATGCTCCAGCCAACTGAGCAACACAGGCAAAGGTGCCATTGTGTGTGTGTGTGTTTTTAATTATCATTGTCATTTATATATTTTTTATTCTTTATAATTATGCTTCTTTTTCTTCTTCTCAAAGCAGTCCTTTTAACATTTCTTGTAATACTAGATTAGTGTTGATGGACTCCTTTAGCTTTTTCTTGTGTAGGAAATAGTTTTTTTTTTTTCTCCTTCAATTTTGAATTGTAGTCTTTTAAAAAATATATATATTTTATTGATTTTTTTACAGAGAGGAAGGAAGAAGGATAGAGAGCTAGAAACATCAATGGGAGAGAAACATCGACCAGCTGCCTCTTCCACACCCCTTACCGGGGATATGCCCATAGCCAAGGTACATGCCCTTGATCAGAATCGAACCTGGGACCCTTCAGTCTTCAGGCCGATGCTCTATCCACTGAGCCGAACCGGTTTTGGCTTGAATTGTAGTCTTGCTGGATAGAGTAATCTTTGTCATAGGTCATTGTTTTTTTTTATCACTGTGAATATTTCATGCCAATTCCTTCTGGTCTGACATGTTTAGGTTGAGAAATTAGCTGACAGTCTTATAGGAGCTCTCTTGAAGTTAATAGGGTGTGGTTTTTGTTGTTATTGCTGTTTTAAGGTTTTAACTCTGCCTTTAAATTTTGTCATTTTAATTATGATGTGTTTTTTTTGTGTGTGTGTTGGCTTCTTTGGTTTTTTCTTTGTTGGGACTCTCTGTGCTTCCTAAACTTGTGTATCTTTCTTCTTCACCACATCAGGGGAAATTTTGGTCATTATTCTTTCAAAGACTTTCTCAATCCTTTGTCTCTTCTCTTTCTGGTACCCCTATGATGCAGATGTTGTTTTGCTTTATGTTGTTCCCAAGGTCTTTAAAACTATCCCACTTTTAAAAATTCTTTTTTCTTTCTGCTGCTCAAACTGGGTGTTTTCTGCTATCTAACCTTCCAAATTTCTAGTTTGATCCTCTACTTCATCTAAACTGTTGATTCCTTTAGTGTATTCTTTATTTCAGATATTGTGTGTTTGTGTGTGTGTGTGGGGGGGGGGTTCTGAATGGTTCTTTTTAATGGTTTTTATGTTTATTGTCTCTTTGTTTAAGTTCTCACTGAGTTAATCTATTATTTCCCAAGTTACTTGAGCATCCTTATAAACATTACTTAGTACTCTATGTCTGTTAAATTTCTTATCTATATTTAGCTCTTTTTTCCCTCTGGAGATTTCTCCTGTTCTTTCATTTGGGCGTGTCTCTTTGTCTACCCATTTTGGCTGCCTCTCTGTATTTGTTTCTGTGTATTAGGTAGATCTGCAGTTTCCCAATCTTGGTATGGTGGATTTACATGGTCATTGTCCTATAGGGCTCAGTGTACAGTTTCTCTTATCACCTGAGCTGGATGCTTCAGAAATGTCTCTTTTGTAGGTTATGTGAGCTTTCCTCATGTAGTTGAGTCTTGATTGCTGTTGGCCCATCCATGTGTTGGGTCAACCCTCAGGCTGGATGTCTGTGAGAATCAACTCTGACAACTGTGTATGAGCAGTTGCACACTTGCTAACCACACAGAATGGAATTTGCCTCAGCAGCGTTTAGTCCCTGCTGGGATCTCCCTTTGGATATGCCATTTGTAAAACTAATTGTTACTTGCTTTGATTTATCTGAAATCTGCCGCTCGGTGTATTGTTTCTGGGGCCTCTTGTGAGGGACTCTGTTGAAGGTCAATGTCATGAATTTCCTGTGACTGGTTCTAGGGTATCTGTTCATAGCTACAAAGTGATCCATAGTTTGTGGCTACCTCAACTTGTCCTGGTTATGTGAGGAAAAGACCAAGCTGGGTGTCAAGGCTGGTTTCCACCAGCATTGTGCCTGGGGGAAAGTCAGCAAAAGGCCCAAGGCTCCAAGATTCATCACTCCCTGCTAGGCTCAAGTACTGAAAGAGCCACTGGAGATACGTGAGCTGCATGAGGTTCTCAGTGAGTCACAGGTATAGGGGTGAGTGGTATTTACCAGATTGATAGAAATTCAAACTTGGTGCCACTGCTGAGTCTGAGGCCACATAGCAGAAGTTCTAAGGTGTCTTCTGACTTTTGTAGTTGGATAGAGCATCATGGAGTCATCAGTGTGATGCCAGAGGGTTCATCAGACCCAAACAAAATGAAATTCTGTGAAGGGTGGGCTCTGAAGAGGAATGGTGATATTGGTAGGGCATGGACAGGAAAAATGGCCCCTACCCTAGAGCCAAACAGCTCAGTCTCTCCTGGATTCTTCCCAGACCTCCCTGATAGCCTGAGATGAACAGGGAAGGGCAGCCTGCAGTGGAGAAGATGGCGCTAGTGTATCTCTTTTTTTTGGCGGGGGGAGGGGGGGGCAGGGGGGCCAGGCTGTGCCTGTCAGGCTCACGGGAAGCAAGAGAATGGCCCCTGCTCCCGAGCCTCACAACTCATTTTCTGATACCCCCTGAGTCTACCTGAACATCTGCATTAGGGGTCCAGGCAGCTGACTCCTTTATAGCGCCTGAGCTTGGCAGGATGGGGCCACAGGTAGACAGGAGGTTTTTGACTATTGCATTCCCCAAGGTTGATGCCATATGGAGAGGAGTAATTGACCCAAGAAAGATGATGTCTGTGGGCACTATGGGAGAGGGACTCATCACAAGGACCCTGGTGGTTGTCTCTTGAGCTCTATCTTGGGAGGCATACAATACAGTCCCTCTCACAACTCCAATCTGCTCCTAGCCACCCTGTCTCTGCTGGAGACAGGGTGAGTGGTTGTGAATGAGATGTTGTGTGCTGACACTATAAGAGGGTGCCTGGGTTTCTATCATACTCTTGTCTCTCCCTAGAACACAGGATCCCTACTGATTTTCACGGCCAGATGTGACATGGGCACCTCTTCCCAGTTCTGGTGCTCTGGGCTGAGGAGCCTAGCACTGTCAAAAAAATATGCATGTATAGTAATTAGGACTTCATTCCTCCATGTTTTCTTCCCTTATCTTACTGTTATTGTCCTGAAATCTTATTTTAGAAAATTGATAAAGTAATATGTTGCATGTGTCTTACTCTTGGATATATCTAAGCCCTTCTGCACATCTAAACTTAGATGGAGTTGGTCAAATGAGAGAACATCTGGTTATGCCTTTTTAAAAATAGTTTTCTTTAGGAACTGTCAGCATGTTGTTGTTGAAGTGTGGAGTTGTAACTGTGTGGTCTATGGACAGTCAACAATATATACTTAAAAGTTGCACTATTGCAAAACAGGTGTATTATCCAGGTACTTGTACACTATTTTTTTTTTGTACTGCTGGTCCTGTACCAGAAACATTTTCTTTTTATTGTTACTTGCTTTTTAAACTTTGTTTAGCCACTTTAAAAAAATCTGCTTATGGCACAATTTGCCTCAAATCCATTCCAAGTTGTATGTTTGTTTTCCAATAAAAAATTACCCAACTGTTAAAATTTTTTTTTATTGATTTCGGAGAAGAAGGGAGAGAGGCAGAGAGATAGAAACAGAAATGATGAGAGAGAATCATTAATCAGCTGCCTCCTGCATGCCCGCTACTGGGGATCAAGCCTGCAACCCATGCATGTGCCCTTGACCAGAATCAAACCCAGGATCCTTCAGTTTGCAGGCCAACATTCTATCTACTGAGCCAATCCAGCTAGGGCAGCATTGTAGCATTGTTATTTTTTTTTTTATACAAGTTGATATTTTCCTGGTTTAGTTATGACATCCTGGTGTGACAAATGATTTTTTATTGAAACCTGGATATTTTTAGTAGTACGTAATGGGTCTTATTTATAATCTTCTATTTTAGTAGGCCCCCTCTGACAACAGGCCAGTGGGAGAAAGGGTGAACTACCTCATTACTAAGTCAAGGTAGAAGTCTCTACTAGGCCTCTGTTGACCCCCAGGTAGTGAGAGGCTCCTAATTACTGCATTGTGGGGGTGGGGCTTTAGAAGCATCACTACGTTTCCTCTGATACCACCAGGGCTTCAAGAAACAGGGAACATATATTATTATTCTCCACATGTTCTGCCTGACTAGGGTGGAAATCTAGGCTTCATACTTGGCTTTATGTGACAACACAATGGTGATAGAGGGAAGAGGTGCATGATGAAAATGAAAAATGAAGGCTCCTTGCTGGCTGGGATGGGGTTAGGTCATGTTTGATTTTTTCCCCTTAGTATTTAACTGAAGTAGAATGGTTATTGTGTAAAAGTTTCTGTATTTTTAGGCTGTCCCTTTTCATATTCTTTAATTAGAAAGAGAAATATTTTCTTGGGATTTTTACATTAATTTCCATTGGCATTTCTGTTTTCTTGACTTCTCCAGCCTGTCTGGGATATATAAGGCAAAAACGAAATCTAGAGCACTCACCTTAGGTTCTGGGGTTCCTAACTGGTCTGCCTTCTTATCTCAACATTTCAGAGTCTTCTTAGTTTTGTTTTATATGTAATATTTAGCACTTTTATCTGTTCTTCATAAGAGGGATGGAAAAATCAGTCCCAGAAATTTTAGGGGACTTTGAGGTGCCTCTGTGACTGCCTCAAAGTCACAGAATGCAATGTGAAACTATTGGATCTGAAGCTTTCCAAAATTTCATTGGGTCTTTTATTTCTTCGCAGTAGCACAGCTCTTAACTGTGTTGAGCAAGGATTGTGAAGAAAGAACTCAGTTGACTAGAAAAAAGGGAATTAAGGTAATTAAAGTAGTCTCTTTGATCTGTCAATATAATGTTTAAAGTTCTCCTGAAGTTCATTAGTTACAGCTGTTTACAGAGTTACTGAATGGGAACTAGCTTTGTCCAGAACTTGACTTTCCATGAAACTTCACTCTACTTGCATTCCAGACCCTGCCATTGTGGTTAACAGGTGAGTTTGAACCTTGGAAGATTTGATTTGGACTCTTAAAGCTAATCTCCTGAAGGAAAGGTTTAGGCTAGTACTTGTTGAGATCTGGGAATTTAGAGCCCACACAACAATGTAGTACTAAAGGGTGTGGACTGTTAAATGAAACCAAGCTCCCCTGCAGATAGAGGGAAATTCAACTGGGGACAGGGCAGATGAGGATGGTAATCACCACAGTTGCTGAGAGGAAAATAGAGCACAAGTCCACTCCACTGAGATGTGTGGGCAGGGATTTAGGCATGTTCACCAATTTTTCTTTCTCCAAGTGCTGCCTTAGGAGTTCCCCTACACTTAATTGCATGTATTTGTTACTTTTCCCCTTCTCTTTATAGCTTGAAAAACCACTGTAATATAGAAGAGAGGGAGCCTCTGAGCTAGCTGTGTAGATCACATAGACACACGAATCTTTTTCTTTTTCTTTTTCTTTTTTCATGAAAGGAGGGCCTCGCAAGAATTGTTCCTCACATACCCAATAACCAGCCTATACAAAAGGCACTTTGATGGCCTCTTGGCATCAAGCAAGGCCCTGGAAACTAACCTTTACTGATGATAATGTTATTGAGTAATGAGAGAAGTTCTGAGGGAGTAAGGCAGAGAACAGCTTATTTTGGAGTTTTACCTCCATTTTGAGGCAGAGAGGAACCCAGAAGATAATTCCCTATACTCCCAGGGAAAGACAGATCAGAGACTCCTGATTATTCTTCCATATTCCTCCTCTCCCCAGCTCCCATTGAAGAGGCTGAGGTGGGTGGGTGGGTGGTATAATACACAAGGACTCTGGTTCAGCTTCTGTTGCCTTCCATGCCTCCATCTTGTGACTATTGTGCTAGTCAGTAGCAAGAGCTTTGCTTGTGGGAGTAAGGGGAAGAGGGGCCCTAGGCAGCAGGTGCTGAGTCCAGGAGCAGCAAGAAAGCTTTCTGAGAAGTCAGGGAAGAAAGAGAAATTCACTTACTTTCCTATTTTCTGTGAGGTGGACCAGAAAGAGCCTTGGAGAAGAGGTTTGTAACCTGGCATTCAGTTCCCCCCTGGGCCTCACTTTCCCAATGTGTAAAACAGGCATAAGAGCAGTACCTGCATGGGCAGGGGAGAGGACGAGGTTTATGAGAGCACCTGTGAACTACAAATTGCCCACCCAAAGGTGAGAGTACCTGTTATCATTGAAGGAGGCCTGTATGTCCAGATACACTGGGGGTTATGTTCATGGAGCTGAAGAATGAAGAGAGTGTGTCTGTGCACACATATGGGAGTGGTGAGAGGCTAATGAGGAGGCAGGTAGCTGGAAGATCTGACTGACAGAGGGAAACTGGCCTTTGTAAGGCTTTAAGGCATAAGTATTGGCAAGGCTGGATCCCCCATAAGACTCCAACTTGGGAGAGGGAGGTATATGTAGGTGTGTGTGAGAAGGGAGTAGAAATGCTTCCCTGGCCCCCTCTCTCCTTCACCTCACTTAGGCAACCTGCTTAAGAAAGGCTGGTGGAGTAGACTGGAGGAGTATTAGGTGTGGAGCAAATTTAGGAGGGTGGGTCTTAGAGACAATCTGGTCCTTCCTACCAGGAATGGTAAGAAATCCCCTGGTTCACCTTTGTGAACATAGAGCAACTGGTGGGTGGGATCTGGGAACTGCATGGTGGGGGAGTGGACCTGAGCTGGGACACTATGGTTGTCCTCTGGAGTGCTGGGACAGCTTTTATGCAGACTGGGGTGGGGAGAGGTTGATGGGTGGGCCAATGCTTGGGCAGAAGCAGTTCTACTGTTCTGAGCTGCGTGGAGGAGGCTGTCCAGCAGGCCCAGCCTAGGGTTGGAGATTGGAGAGCAGGCAGAGGATGATGGCTGCTCTGACTCAATCATTTCCTGGAGGTGGTTCTGGCCCCCAGAACCCTCACCAGCTGGCCTCCTGCCTGAAGTCACTTAGGACCTCCACTAGCTGCAGCCTTGAGACCTTGGGGCCAAATCTGGTAGGGAGTCCAGCCAGATGCCCTTGAGGCTCCAGATGAAAGCGTGGGGTGGGGGTGGCGATGCTGCAGTCCCTAGTGGTAGTGGCATGCCTAGGGCAGTGGGGGTGGGGGAGCGAGGAGCAGCTGAGCCCTGGACACAGGGCAGTTGCTGTCTGTCCATCACGCTCTGTAGACAGTTGTGTGCACCTGGGGCTGGGCCCTCCCACCTTCCTTCTCACCCCCTTCCCCTGAGCCAAAAAGCTGGCCATCCTGGGCGGGCCTAGTTCCAGTTCGAGTAGCAGGGACAGATGCATCTCCGTAGTGGTCTCCGGGTTTTTTACCCCTCCCCGACAGGGAAATGAATGGAGGGCCATGAAAGGGCTGGAACTGTCACCCTCCTTGACCAAGGTGACCCGATGCCATTGACAGGATGGGGCAGCAGCCAGGACCTTGTTCCCCGCCCCATCTCCCAGCTACATCTCCATCCCCAGGCATTTCCTGAGTGTGGGGTGTGTATGGGCCCTAGTGGAAAATGGTATCCCTTAGCACCACATCACTGGATTCCGAGGCCCAGTTGTTGTGAGGGCAGTGTAGGGTGGGTGTGAAATGGAAAGAAGACTCATGGTCGCTTCATGCCCCCCTAACCCAAATCTCTGGGGCAGGACCACGATCTATGGTGGGACCTAGGGAGCATGGAGGTGCTGGCAGTCTACCTCTCTGGCCTGGGCAGAAGCGCAGCTGGGCTCAGCTCTGCCCTTCCCTCCTCCATCTGGACATGGCTTGAACACTTAGTAAATTTGAGCTATTGGCTAATTTTATCCTACTTCAGCTCAGCAAGAAACCCACATTGAAGAGTACATAGTTCTTGCAAGTGGCTCTTGCCCCCTGGAGGCCAGTTGTGGGGTGATGAGAGAAAAATGCTGTGGTCTTGGTCCAAGAAGGGGCGTGGTGGGTCAAATGGGCTGAAGTCCACATGCTCAGGCCTGCAGGAGTCCAGAAAGAGAAAAAGTGTCTTGGTAATAATATAGTAGGAATTCCTCCTTGTGTTCTCTTTGTTTTCTCATTCTCTGTTCCTATCATTTTTTGAAATTCATGGGTTCTAGCAGAGTGAAACCACAAAGTAGGTCCATAGAAAATATTGCTGAAATGACTTTAAAACTAGGCATGCAACTCTGCCTTTGGTGACCACTAGAGAGAGCTGAAAGGCAGGAATCTAAAAACTCTGGAGTCTCCTCTTCATATCAGCTTATTAGAATTTCAGAATTTGTTTCCTGCTGTGGTTCAAACCAAGGCCTACCCTATCTCGGTATTAGTTGTCAGACAACAGGATTTGTTGGGGGCACCTGTAACCCCTATCACCAGGCCTTCTCTGCTCCTGTGATGTGGGAGGGAGCTGCTGGCTGCATCTTCAGATGTGAAAAGGACCCAAGAAAAGCATATGCTCATAAAAATTATGGGACTCCACAACTTTGAAATCTAATAATCCTGAGTGATCAAACACAGTTTGGAGTCCTAGGACTACTGTGGGGAGGGACTAAAGGGCAAGCCATGTTGGGTTACAGAGCCTGGGGCCAGGCAGGATAGAGTAATTAGTCTCAGTGAGAGGCGATAGAGACTGCCATCCTAAGGATGTCTGCACTGAGTCAGTAGAGAACCCATCAATGGCCAAGAGCTTGGTGGTAAACCAAGAGCTTAGTTTCCTCTCCCAAAGGAAAATAGTCCCTTCTTTGCCTCTCTTCTGCCCAATGTGTGAACTTTATTTGTGCCTTTTGGTTTTGGAGGGTGAAAGGGCATTAGGTGGGACCAACTTTCCAAGGCCAAGCCTGCATGAATGAGGTCTGGAGTGCTTGGGAAGAGAGAACACCAAAGTTATGTATTAGTTTGGAATGAGAGTAATCATGAAAAGATTGGGTATGCTAAAAGTCGGACTTAGCTCGTCAGATTTTATTTTTTCTCAAAGCTGTTCTTGCTGACACTCATGGAAATGGTCCCACTACATAGTTGTTGAATGAAATGGATAAATCAGTTTCCCCTCCCAGGGTTAGTTTCCTCATCTGTAAAATGAAGGGCTTTGGTCTGGACTGGAAGTTATTTACCATAGTTCAAATCTCAACCTGCTTTGTCAATGATGAACTATGTGAACCTATAGTCCTTTCCTATCTCTAGGCCTTAGTGTCCTCACTTCTATTTAAGGCAGAGAATAGACCTGGGAGACTCTAATTTTACTCCCAGTTTGTTGCATTGTATGTCTTTTCTGCTTCACAGTCAATGTCTCTGTTGCTGCCTGGCTGTGTAATCCAGGTATACCAGTCCCTTCAGCAGTAATAAGGGAGAGGAAAGGGGTCTTAAAATGGATTATTTCTAGGTTCTTGCTAATTTTCAATATTGCATATTTATAAGAAGGTGGTGGCTTTGGCAGGGCCTCTTCTCCAACTCAGCCACTCTCCATGTTTTCATTTTGTGAAGTAACCACTTTTCCACTTCAGAGCTTCCTTAAAGATCCAATCCTGAACAGTCCACCCTGCTTCAAACCCCTATGTATCTCACAGAGAGTATAGACCCTGGCATAAATTTGATTTGAAATGAGATATCAGTTCTGAAATCAAACTTCCTGCTGTTAGCCACCTTAAAACAATTTCACCCTTGTACGCAACTTACATACCAAAGCTAGATTTTCAGTTGTTTATTTTGTTCCAAACCTTTTCAGGATTTAATGTTCCAGGTCTTAAGCTCCCAAATTTTGTCCATTTTCCTAGACTTGACTATGGATTCATCCTACCCTAAGCATTAATACTATGCTGCTTTCACCAACCAACATTCTATCCATAAGCACACAAGCCCACACATGCACGTGCACACGTGTGGAAGAATTGACACCCTACCATGTTATGTGACACCTGATAAGTTAGATTTTGGACCTGTGAATGACTTTCCTTCATCTGAAGAGAAGTGAATGGTAGCCAGATTTTTAAGAGCTATTCACACCAGGTGCAATAAAGGAGGCCTTGTAGAATTTCCCACAAGCGATTTGGTGTTGGGAGGGGCAGGAGGAATGGAAGCAGGGACTTTGTCGATCCAACATTTTCAGTGGTCTCTCCTGGGAATTACAAGGCTCATCCTGTTTCACTGCTGTTTGAACTGATAGGATAGTAATTAAGCCCCTTCCTACCCACAGAGCCAAGAATCCAGTGTGTTTTCCTTTGAGTAATTGACAAGAGCTGAACTGGGAACAGTGGAGGGGGATCAAGACTTTAGCATTCATTGAGGCCATCAGAAACCAACAATGCCCCAGCTGCCTATTTGTAACGTAAAAACTCATGGTTAGGGGTCACTGTCTTCTTTGGAGTCCCCAAACAGCAATCTCATCCTCCTGGCCCTGGCTTGAGGTGGCAAGTTACTATTAGCTCCAAGTGACAGTCAAAGATGCCTCGCAAGAAGATGAGAAAATATTTAGGTAATAGGAATACAACAGACCAAGGCCCAGAATAGGGAGAAAGGGATGTAAAGAGGCTGAGTGAGGAGAGAGGTTGAGCTCCTAATGAGGTGAGTTGTGAATGCTCCTTAGCAAAATTGTTGCCCAGAGTCTGAGAATAGGGAATCATCTGGCACCTATTTTAGAGAGGTGAAGGTAGTCCAGAGTCAACTTTTCCTAGCAACTTTAATGCTCACTAATCAGAGTGGTCCAGTATGCACAGCATGAGGGACACATTGGTTGGTAAAGGCTAGCAAGGTTTCAGTTTATTAAAGGAAACTGTCCAATCCTTTGTGTAGCTGCTGCCTCTACCTTTTGGGGATCCAGGTTAGGAATTGGATTTTTCCTAAAACAGTCCCTTTCCTGGCCTAGCACAGGTGGAAATATAGACCTGTCATGAATAATGATAGAAGAGTTGGTACTTCAGCAGGTTGAGTTGCCTCTCCCCATTCTGTACCCTCTCCCTGTCATCAGTCCTCTGATGACTGCTGAGAGGAAAGGGATTGCTTCACATTTTAACAGATACAAGAATGGGGAGCTTGAGAGGGCCTGCAGGTTAAGTATTGGCTTGGGGAATCTATAAAAATCAGTGATGTTGTTTAAGGCCCCTTCCCTATTAATATGTGATATTCTTCCAGTCTATGATTATAGCAGCTTTACCCAAAAAGTGAGTTGTGGCTCAGCCTGTGATGAGTGTGACTATCAGGGAGGAGCTAGACCAAGGTAAGGCTGATTGGCTCAAGCTCTGAGTCCCTCTTTTAAGCACCTGTGTGTCTATGACAGTCATAAAAAGAAATAGAGAGGAAAGAAAAATTAGGAGGAAGTATAGGGGAAAGAAGGAATCAGACTGTTAACCAATCAGATGATGGTGAGACACTTGTAAACTAACAGCACCCACAGTTCTTGGGAAGTCATAGACTCTGAGGCTAAATAAGGCTCATTGTTCCATTTCACTCTCTGCTCTGCCTCCAGTCCCCTTCACCAGCAGCTTCTAAGGTCAGATGGCAAGAAGCTCCTCAGCACACAGAGGTTTGGGTCTTCCCACCAGGCTCCTGGGGATACAATAGCACCTTTCACAGTTGCTTCTAGTGGATGACTAACAGGCTTGGGATAAGAGGTCCCATGCTCCCCATCCCCCAAGTGTTAGAAGATATAGGGAGAGGTTCCAAAAGTCAGGGGATAATCCCAAGCTTTCCTAGATCATTGAAAGAGAATAACCCTGGAAAATTTAAAGACATTCATGAAGAGAATTTGATTAATGAGTTTGGAACACCTGGAGCTTTAGCTCCAAAGAGATGGTGGCTGAAATGCCGTGTGCACAGGTTTGGGAACAAGTGTGCTGGTGGCAAAAATATAAATGCTGAGCAGGGTGGGTAAAGGAAAGGGGTTGGAGAGGAGCACACAATCACAAGGAAGAGGCATTAGATTGGTTCCTCAGGGGTGGGGGAGCCTGGCAGCAGCTCCCCAATGGGGTCTTGGTCAGGGGCCAACATCTTGTCCTTGCTGGAATCCCTTTGCTCTTCCTTGAACATCCTTTGATGCATCAGAGGGACAAAGAAGAGGATTACAGCTCCAATTATTGGGGGCACACCAGCAAAGTAGAAGGCCACATGGTAGTCCCCAAAACAGTTTCGGAGGAGGCCTGAAACAGTTAAGAGAGAAAAATCATGATCAGCTTTGCCCTACTGCCCAAAGGTGTTCTCTGTCTCTTGTAGAGGCCATGATGATACCTATCCAGAGAATTTTGACCTGAACTGCTTTGACCCAAGGGATACTTCTACTTGTAAGAAATTAACCTCTATTACAAAAGCAGGTGACTCCTCTTAGGTACTGGAGCTGCAGGTCCTTGAGGCTAAGGCTGATTATGAAAGAAGCTAATGAAATGTATCTTAAAGTTCTCCATATTTGACTTTCATGAAGCTATAGCTAACTTCTACTAGTCACTCCTAGGTATGGAGTTAATTTAAAAGAGGAAATCTACTTTAAAAGAACTCCACAGAATATGGTTAAGCCTTGTCTTGATTCACAGTGATATAACCTCCCATCCCCAACTTGGGCTAGAGTGTTCTTGTGGAACAATTCAGCAAAGTTCTTATTTGTCCTTTCACTTAAGTTTCCTTTTGCCCAAAGATGAAGCTCTATGTGTGTCCTTCCTTCCAGTTGCAGATATGGTTGGTCCCTCTGGGTTCCTCTAAATTATGAATACTATGGATGTGTTTGGCATGAGATGCTAGGCCTTTTCTGCTCATCTTCAGGAGGCAATGTGAGCCACCACATAGGAGGAATGAGCCCAGAAACACTACTGGGATCAGGGGCTGGGTAGAGGCTTCCCTTGCCCAGTGGGCAGTATGGCTGTGGCACAAAGGCCTGAGTGGAAGATTTGCCACTGTTACACAGCATGACCTTAAGATATCGTGCACAGAATTTGTGTTCAAGGAATATTTGTTGAGTTAGCCCAGTTGGCCAGCCTAGGAACAGCTAGCCCATTAATTAATATTTTTCATAAATCTGAAAGAAAGGAAATAAAGTTCTTTTTCCATTGGTTTTCCTTGTTTCCTGGGATACCAACAATGCCATTCTTAGAGAGCAGACAAACTGGGAGTTATGAAAGATAGAAATCCAATACTTTTCTTGCTGCCTTCTGAAAGTGACCCTCACTAGTCCAGTCCTGGGATACTATCTTAATCAAATATCTTCTATAGTATCAGTTCAGAAGTCAGTAGAGAAGGAGTGGAGTGTCTTTAAGTAAAACCAGGGCCCACCTTCTTTTTTCTTCCTGCCTAGCTACCTTGCAAATAATTACTTGCCTGTGAAGAAAAAAGAGGATACTAGACCAATAGAATGGTCAAGAAGGCCAAACCCATTTCTCTCTCTACCCTCTTGGAAACATGCATGCTGTCTACAATGTAACTCCACTGAAACAGATATACAGCCATGGAAAGCTTATTACCCAAAATGAATTAATGCACATATACTATGCTTAGTCACTTTCACCAATAATGGTATGGGGTTTCATGCACTCTGACAAGGCTGCTAAAACAGAGACTAAGAGGAAGGGGAACTTTAAGTAGAAGTATTTAGGAAAGTGAGGACCCAAGGAAGACAGGCCTCCCCCACTCTTACCCTCCTTGTAATATCAGCCTCACCTGCAATGGGGGGCCCAGCAATCATTGGCAGGGCCATCATGCCCAGGAGGTAGCCAATGGCCTGCGAGGCCTGCATTGGGCCCACCAGTTCAAATGCAATGGGGGCCATGATAGTGATGAAGAAGCCATCGCAAAGGCCCAGGAAGAGGCAGACAACGATGAGGCCTCCGAAGCCCCTGCATAGGGGAATCATCATGGACATCAGGCCCAAGAGCAGGAAGGAGATGACCTAGAGGAGCAAGGACCTGAGGTCGGTCATGTTACGCTTGCCAGTTAAGATCACATAGAAAATCATACCTTTTTCAGACTTCATTCCTACCATTTATAAAATGTGGCAGCAGGTTGTCAACAGAGAGAACAGTTGGACTAAATAGTTACTCCTACATTAAAAGATTCAAAGTTTTTAAGAGAGCTCCTATTTAACTGAAAGTCTATGTTGTTGCTGTCAATATGGTTGTTAGGTTAATCAGTTGGTTTTTAGAGAGGATAAAAAATGTCCTGGCCATGCCATCTGAGGAAATCTCTAGGTTGGGGGACTTTAGAACTTTTCCCAGACTGTATATTTAGGCAGAATCTAGGAATAAGAAACCAGAAACCCCAGGTTCTTCTCTGGTAGATTCATGAACAATTGTAAGATAATACTAGACCTACCTATCAATATATCAATACAAGCCATAATGGTTGGCAATTAAGAGTAAGTACCATTATATAACACAAAGGACCAAATTAACTGATTTTATTCTCCTTTAATTACTATTATATCTAGCTGCCTCTTAACATCCTCAATGAGGCCCTGCCAAACAAGGTTTGGAAATTAAAAATATTGGAACTGAGAATCAGCCCCCAACAATTGGCTCAAAGTTAGGCTGATCTTCAAGTTGTCAGCATTTGCTTTCTAATAGACTTGACACCAGACACATGTACCAGTCTTCTGCAAAAGTTGGAACCACAAGGTCTAGTGGATGGCACTTCAGAACACTTCAAGCTATGTATACACTCCTTTCCCCTCCCAGTCCAGTACCCAGGTAGAAAGAAGGGGAGCAAAATCCTGTGATGGAGTATCTTGAGTAACTTAAGAGAAAGAAGTTTATATATTGTCTTGTGCTCTTAACCCGAGACAACAACAAGATGAGTTTGGACAAGTCACTTTCCCTCTCTGGGCCTCAGTTCCTCATTTATGAAATGGGCGGGGGGGTTGATTGTTTCAGCTACAATGCTCTAAAATTGTTTGATATTACTCTAAGTGATAAAGTGGGTCAAGTAAAAGTGGAAAGGGAGAGAGAGGTGGATGGACAGAGGAAGTAGTCAGCAGAAGCACTGGCCCTAAACCTAGTCCTGCTTCTGACTATCTACTGCCTCTGCTTCCATTGGAACTCCATCTGCACAATAGAAAGCAAAAGCTGCTCAGACCCTACATCTCTCCTAGGGACTGTGGTGACAACTGAGCTATATTAGCTAGGCAAGAGTACTTACTGCCTCTCATCAAGGTAAAGTCTAGGCCCAGTGCTAGTTTACCCTGATTTTCACTAACCTTTGGCATCTTAGAGCTTCTGATACTCACAGGAAAGACATGCAGGGCTGTCATGTAGAAGAGGCTGGAAAAGCCACACATACTACCATGTAAAAATATACCCAGATAAGTCACTTGCTTATATTTGCACAGAATTCAGAATTTCATAACTGGTTTATCTTAATTATAGGCTTTTGGTTTGACCTTGGCCAATTTTTTTTAATCATCTGGGGACTTGGCTTTGCTTTCCATCACTTAAAGTAGAATATGAAACATAGGAGTTCAGCTCTGCCACTACTATCTAAGTCTTTTCCTCATTTTCTCCATCAGTATGAGAAATTGGACTGGATGAATCATAAGGGCACCCCTCGCTCTGACAAAGCATATTAACCAGTTCTGGCAAACCTAACACAGAGATAAATATAACTGGAAACCTTGTCCAGGACATCTGATGGTATTTAGGCAAAGACTTGGGTCTGTAAGAAGACAAAGAAATCCCTGCTATGAGTGTAATTAGGGCCCTTTGAAAATGATTTTAGGGCTTCCTCAGGAGAGTCAGAACTCGACCACTTCCTGATGGTGATAACATGTTTTCTGGGACTGCCATCACCCCTCCACAAGGTTTCACACTTTTGCACCTTCTAGTAAACCCAGCTACAGGATAAAAAGGCATGAACTACATCATAAAGGCAATATTGCTATAGACAAAGATAGACAGCTTGAGCAGTAGTCTGTATTCTAACCAGACCAGAGCCCAGTTCACACAGAAAATGGCCTCTTGAGCATCCATGAGGCTACTTGCCACAATATGAGGCTATTTGTGTCACTGTCAGAAGGATTAAAAACTTGTATGGCTGTAACATATTTTTTTTTTTTTGACTTCTCAAAGCCTGGTTACGCCTAGATTTTTTTAAATCCTCACCTGTGAGGTGAGATAGGAAAAACAATAATTATTCTCATTGCACAAATAAAGAAAGTGAGGCTTGGAGAAGGGGAGTGATATGGCCTATTTTGGTATTTTTTTTGTGTGTGTCAATCAAAAGGATGGCATTTAGGCCCTGACTGGGTAGCTCAGTTTGTCACAGCATCGTCCTGATACACCAAGGTTGCGGGTTTGATCTCCAGTCAGGGCACATACAAGAATCAACCAATGAATAAATAAGTGGAATAACAAATCTATCTCTTTTCCTCTCTCTCTAAAAGTCAATCAATAAATAAAAAGGTGCCAAGTATCTCTGGAAGTATGAGAGGTGATAGGCCTGTGATATATTGGGCCTAGAGCCTAGAGGAGAGAGACACAGATGCCTAAGATCCTCCAAGAGAGTGTAGATCACTCTTCACTGGGGGCAACATCTAACCTGGCCTCACTTTCCATCTTTCAGATGAGAGAGCCATTATTAATAAATGTTTCCTTGAAAATGTTCTTCAAGTTCCATTTATATTGTTCTCAATCTTTTTTTAAAATATATATTTTATTGATTTATTAAAAAGAGGAACAGAGAGCTAGAAACATCCATGAGAGAGTAACATCAATCAGCTGCCTCCTGCACACCCCCTCCTGGGTATGTGCCTGCAACCAAGGTATATGGCCTTGACCAGAACTGAACCTGGGACTTTTCAGTCCACAGGCTAATGCTCTATCCACTGAGCCAAACTAGTTAGGGCTGTTCTCCATCTTGATGAAAGAGTCAGAACAGGGATGATTGTATTCATTTGAAAGCAAGGGAAACTGAGGGTCAGATAATTTTATTGACTTTTCCATGTTGTACAACAAGCTGATGTCAGAGCTGAGGCCCAGTGTACAGCAATGATTCAACCTACCATTTTATCCTAAAAAATGGGGATAGCCTGATATCTGTGGCAAAGTGTTATTCCCCACAATGTATAAGGTGGCCACACTTACCTGCAAGTAGATCTTCTTAAGTCCAGGAATGGAATCACTGACACGGCCTGATACAAGGCGCCCGAGGCCTGAGGTAGCCCCAATACACACCAAGAGCACCCAGGTCTGCTTGATTTCCAAGAACTCCTCTTCCACATACTTCATCTGAAAAGCATATCACAGACCCCCCAGGAAAGGAGAAAGAATAGGAGCTGGCTGATTAACTTCTTGGCATATCCAGAACTCTCAACTGCTTACTTCTCTGGACCATGGCAAGAACTTTCTTCCTTCTAGTCCCAGCTTGGGCAAATTCCTTGGCTGCTTCTAAGAGCTTAAAAGGCTGCATATCCCCTGGCTCTCTAGATTCTGGGCTTTTTGAACAATAGCTGAGGGGAGTGGATATCTCCAAGTCCTAGAAGGACTGAATACATCCTTAACAAGTGAGAAAATCAATGGTTTTTCTATAACCTCCCCATTCCCTGACCCAGAACTGACAGACTGGGGAAACAGTAGGTCGCCAGGGGAGAAAGATCCACCAATTTTTCAAGTAACACTTCTAAAAGTGTGTTTTAAAAAACATGAGGTCTATGGAAGATAACTGGACTACAAGTGACAGTTCTTTGACCATATAAGTTGGGTGGATGCTGGTTAAACAAAACTGAAGGATTTATTTACTGCTGGTATTTTTGGTGCCCTTAAAAGATTGCTATACAATACAAAGCTGAAGCGAGCTAATACATGTTATTCCTTGACAAAATTATTTAACCACAGACCAGCATTCCATAGAACACACTTTTAGAATATCCTATCCTTGAGTCATGTGGGCCAGTCTCCTGAATTCTAGTGATGCTTATCTTCTCCTGAAAATCTATCACGACTTATCTGTGGGAGAAACCACAGGCATGGACCTTTCCCTAAGGAATTCCCCCTATTTCCCCTTGAGATCTTCCCTCTACTTGTGTTCTTTTCCACTCTGAGTCTCTCCAACTACTGTTTGTCTTTTTTCTCCAAAAGTCTCGGTTCTTCCCTTTCAATGTCCTTCCCCCTTCCCCTCTGTACTTCAGGCAGGTTAAGGGCAGATTCTTGGGACAAAATAGGGTGGGTCCACCCTGGTATTCCTTACCAGGTGTACATAGGGAACGAAGTAACCAAGGGCAGCAGCAGCAATCCCAAAGGCCCAGATGCGGTAGGTACGTTGGCGGAACACTCGCATGTTGAAGTACTTCCTGAGTTGAGTCAGAAAGCATTGGCATAGGGTGTGGACACCTCTCTTGCTTGGGGTGTCTTGAGAGCTGGGCAGGAGGGGCCGGTAGGTGAGGGAAAGCAGCGTAAGAATAAACATGAAGGTACTCAGCACCTGGAAGGTTTGGGCAAGCTTTATCTTAGCCCCCAGCATTTTGATGAGAAGGGGGAAGGATATGGAGAAGATGCTACTCCCAGCAGACACTACACCATTGGCCAGACCCAGGCGACGTTGGAAGTAGTGGCCCAGGATGACGAGAGATGGCTGAAAGGCGAAGGAACAGCCACAACCAAAGAGAATCCCATAGGTGAAGTAACGCAGGCTTAGTGAGCTGTGGGAGAAACACCAAGAGCTATCCTCAGTAGCCTGACCAGAAAATCCACCTGCCCCTTTCCCTTCACCCTCCTGAAACCTGAATGCCCCCACCATTGACCCACAGCCCCACTTAACACTGACCCTCAGAACAGACAAAGGACAGGACCTTCTGGTTCTCATTTTGCAGGTGGATTCAGAGAAGTAAATTAATTTACCCAAAGTAGCATAGTGGGGTCAGAAAAGCTTGGACTTGACTCCAGGTCTGTGTGATTCTATTTTCAGTCATAGCACCCAATCAAAAATGATTGTTCAAAACAAAGTCAAAACCAGCCTATGCAAAGGCTGGATGATGGGGCTACAAGGAATGCCAGTGACTTAAAATAGTTTACCCACTGCTCACCTAGACAGTGTGGTAGGCTGGTAGCCAAAGCTTTATCCAAAATAACAAAGGTCTGTAAGGACCCAAGATCCTGGACGATTGGGACCCTCCATAGGACTCTTCAGTGTCTTTCTCCATGCTCAGAACCCTTAATATTTCAAAGAATCGCTAGTGGCTTCCTGAGAGAGCCCATCCTGAACCCTGCCCAAAGTCTGAATATCCCAAGACCCTCTACTCCAGGTCCTAGATGATCTGCATGGGGATCCTGAGGTAAAAAAAAGTCCCTTTAATATTCAGAGCCTGGCTCCTGTTTCTAGACATAGTATGAATTAGCTTCCCAGAGTAGCCTGGCTGCTTGATGGGAAATGGAGACTCAAAAAAGTCATGGGTCTCACAAAGTAACACATAGTCTGACTTAAAATTCTTAAGTGATGGTCATAAGCCTCTGTCATCAGGGAAAAGGCCATGTGAAGTTTAGCTTGGCCAGCTATCTGCACCCCTCCCCAACAAATATTGGCACAACCTAGTGAGGAATCTTGTCAGTTTTTTTAGCCTCCACATATTGTACAATAGTTTTTATCTGACAATTTAATTACCTAATATGGTATTCTCCATGGTCAGGCAGTTCCTCCCCATGGATGTTAATCCTTATACTAAAGGACTGTGCCTATGCTGTAGAGATGATGTGGTGTTAGCATGCATGATTCCAACCACAGCTATTATTACCAATACTTTCCATCTGTTTGCATTCACCAGATATGAACAAAGGCTTTGATTTCAAAAGGGTTGCCTCCACTTGGAATACATAGGTAGACCAATTGCTCCTCTTTTGTCATATTCCTTGAGTCCTGCTTCCATGTGATTCTAGGTATGCATTGGGATGGTCTGGGCAAGGGGTCTTGTCTAAGTGATAGGAGTTAGTTAGACCTTCAGAGTTAAGGACACCGGGCGAAAAGCATGAGGTTCAGTCCAGGATGCTATCTGATAGATCTATTTCTAGCTGTGCCCAAGGCAGGAGGCCCTAAATAAGCTTGCCAAGTCCTACCCAGCCCTGCCTGAATTCCTCTCCACCTCACACCATCCAAAGGATCTCAGAGCCCTAATTCAGACAACAGGAAGAATGACTTGGAACACTAGCCACAAATAGAACCATTTTTCCACTGGATATGAAGCCATCCAGAATATTTATTCGCTATGAAGATGTTCTTACAGAAAAGGCAAAAGGGTTTGGGGGAAGGGCTTAGGGGCTGGAGAACAGAATGCCTACTCCAATGTGCCTAAAGAAGAATGCCAGAAGAAAATACATCTGAGCTCCTTCCCTTTCTGTAACAGCTTATGTGAATTGGAAGGGAAATGGGATCCGTATGCTGCTAATTTGTTTACACTTTGCTATGCTAGGCCTTAAAAAACAGGCCTCTGTTGTGTAGTGCCGAGACTGGAGCTACTTCTGAGGCCTCAGTTCTTCCTCAGAAGGAGCCAGACACCAGCTTGTTGAGGGCAAATGAGGCCAACCACTAGAGCAGTTCCAAAAGGGCTTGGAGCTGCTTCTCTGGGAGAGATGAGCAGGTTCCAGGTAGGACATTATTTTCCCCTCTGTCTGAACTAGATGGGATGGTGCCAAGAAACCACTGCAGGACAGATCCAAGCTCTGCTGCAGGGTAGGCTGGACAACCAGAAATGCTTAAGTCATTAAGCTGGCTCATCCCCAAAGAGCCCCATTGTGGCAGAACAGGATTATCATTCTTTGATGTGAGTGGAACCCTAGGTCTAGAGAACATAACCATGATCCTACTCTGGGGAGCCAAACTCAGAAAGCAAATCTCTAAGTTAACTGTATCTTCAGGACAGCATCTTTCTACACAAGCTCAGCAGATTGAAAGTAGGAGGTACAATAACTTCCAAAGTGGCTGTGGTAGAAAGTTAATGAAATTCTTTAGGAATCCCATATTTCTCAGTCTGTGGTGAAGGGTTTTCACTTCTCCACTCAACTGCAGATATGCTTTTGCAGGTCTGGTAGAAAGGAAATTGAAAATGAACCTGTAGCTTGCTCCTTGACTGACACTACTAAGTTCTGCCAATGGAACCAGTGGGGCCAAAATTTTACTCTAACTTCTGCCTAGCTGGGTAGCTAGCTAGGTGCTGGGTTTCTACCTCAGTGGGAGATGATGCTAAATATTCATTTTTATGCCCAAAACATGAATCTTATCTGTCCCAAACCATCTAAGCATTTGCAGCCAAAATATCTTAAAAGGGGCCAGAAATGCTAAACAGTCTTGGGCTCAATTGACCTCTTTTACAGTATATGATTCCCTCAGGAATCCTATAATGATAGGTGTCTACATGAGCTTTTTCTAAAAGCTCATTCACAAGAAGGCTGATGAGGTCATGAGATGTGTGGTACACTGAAGAAGAATAAAATGGAAGTGCTGGAAGAGATGTGAAAACACCATCTGGTCTAATTCTCTCATGTTACAGATATAGAAATTGAGGCCCAGAGAGAGGAATGGTACTCA